AAATCATTAATACAGTAGGAGTAGGAATTTTTTTTTTTTTGCTTTCCAGAAGGCTTTCACAATGGTATCAAGGCATTGCATCTAAAACTCTGAAATGTTTATATAGAATTACTTTTGTTTTTATAAAGACGTTTTCTGGAAATCGGATTTTTTCTTTTCAACCTCGTTCAATCGTCGGTGGTATCTATTTTTATTTAGGTAAGTGAATCGGGCTGACGAATCCATCGCTCGCGTCAAAGACGTGACGCCGCGTCTGTTGGTGGTATTTAATCATGTTCCCTTTCCCGTTGCGTTGAGACCGGGTCGGCCGACGATCGTAGGGTAATATGCATATTGTAGTGCGAAAAGTATTACGCACATGTTATCTACAGGTAATGTTGATTTCTTATTGCTCTTTTGCATGACTAGGCAACACTCATGGATATCATATACAGTAATAATTAAAGATAGACATTATCATCATCGCCCACAATTACCGTGCAAAACTATGATGAAGAAGGCAATCATTATCAAATTAATCACATAGGGCCTATGGCCTACTATATAACCATGGGTGGATATTAATTTATGACGAAAAAACAACCTAAGAAAACAGCGGGGTGATTACGGTACTTCGCATGCATCCCCCAATGCGATCATCCAGTGGGTAGCTTGTGAGTATGACATAATTTTGTAATAGTAAGCTATTCGCTTTGATTTTTTTTTTTACATGGGTTTGGCTGATTTTATTTTGAATAGCAAATAAAATTGAAAGCTAGAATAGTAGGTTAGGTACATGTGCGATAAAATGGTACTCCAATACTGTACAAACTTATTTCCGCGTCGCTTGGGTACCGTCGCTCTAATGCTGTTAAAAAAATATTGATCCCATTGAGGGCGTAGTTTATTTTATTTTATAGGGAAGGCTACGTTCACTATTAAATTCACATGTATTTATCTCGGCATATTTAAGTAATTATAATGTATCATAATGCATTGTGATACTGTTAATTATTAGCGAACATATGATTTAGCTATCTGACAAATGGCGTATCGTTATTCCAGCCTTGTGACGTCATTGCTCGAGGTAACATCGACGGTGACAAGCGGCTAAAAACTGGTTATAAAAGTAGCATTTATTTCGTTAAATCCCACGTTTTGTTCGACGCAACATCAAGATATGATTTTTTCTAATACTAGGCCTATATATAAAGGACGTACCTACGGTTTGAATTTCGGTGAGGTAGGAGCTTATACCATAGTGAAGGTGATGTTTGACTAGACTATTAGTAAAAAATCTGTAAATCATAAGTGTTACCATGTGTTTCATTCATCCAGCTATACCCATTGGAAATTCAACCATCCTGAGCTATTTGTCTTGTGATTGACTTTGAGGCAGCCTGCATTTATTTTAATGCAAAGGTGATATGTATTGTTTGTTTTATTGTGTTTTACCAGACTCAAATTATATTAAACAGTACACTGACAATTCAATGGCTACTTAATACAAATACAATAATAGAAAAAAATAAATAAATGCTGGTATATATCAATTACTAATATTAACAATTAAGAATTAGCAAAACAAATATGTTCAACTGTCAATGAAATTAAATTAATTATTGTATGTATATATACCTGAGAAAGACAAGGTTCATCAATAGGAGCTTTCTGCAAAGCATTTGCTTCAGCTTCAAACCGAGCAAAATTTCCAAGTACTGACCTAGGGCATGTAGGCTCCAGCGATTTGCTAAAAAGAAACAAAATTGGCCACAACGGTAATATAGAATAGATAATATTAACATTAATTAATGGTTACTTACTGTGCCGCCCATGGCCCCGGTGGGGGTCCAGAGGCGAGGTCTGGCGTCTAGCCTTTTTATAAGTCGTACCGGTATCTAATTAATTTTAAGGAATGCAATTAAAATTTATTTCCACATTACATTTTCAAAATACAGTGGCGGGTTTAGGAATTACAAGACGGGCCCAGGGAGGAAATTTTACAGATGGAGTGTAGACCACCTCAGCCCCACCATAGTTGGGGCTGAGATAAGAAAATGATTATGGTACCTCTAGTTGGCCGGAAATGGCACTTTCAGACTTAAATTTGAATATAATTTTCTTTTTTCTCCACTTTTAAATTTTGAAAAATATAGGGAGGGTGGGCCGGCTGGTCCTCCTTGAATATGTCACTGAAATATTCATCATAATTTTTTTTTCAATTTATCCTGGTAATCATTCCCGCTTACATATTTCGTGCAAACTAACATTCATAAAAATAGCGATTTATTGTCTACTAATTAGCTTGTGACATATTCGAACCATAAAAACTCTGCCCTTTTTGAATTTCAGTTTTGTGCGAGTTTTTGCGACTACACTAATTATGAGTGGAAATACTACCGTCTAACTTAAGATCAAACAGGACTATTAGGTTTTCCTAAACCCGCCACTGTTTTCACAAACTTTCTTTTCGGTCATCTTTTGGCCAATAGCAATACCGTACGTGCGCATCAAACATAGGTATCTTTGCGCGTATTTGTGCCGCTATACAGTGAAATTATGCTAAAATCAGGCCTATTTTTAATCAGTTATAGCTCCTTAGGTTGAAAGGTGACCCCCCATTTCATTACATATTCTGAAAGCACATAAGTTGTAAATATGATTTTATAGATCATAATGGCTGATCGGACATTGTGACGTCATCATATTGCCATCTGAATTAAAAAACAAGAAAAAAATTATATTTCTTTTCTCAAAACGTTGATGACGTCATATCATCTTAACCATTCGTCATTTCTGAATAATATTAAATGGGCTTATACTTCAGATCAAGTTTGAATGTTAGGTATCTTACTTTTTTGTTTGCCCGTCTTAACGTGTGCGTACGCGTGCGTCAAAAATTACATATGCTTATAACTATGCCTATTTATAATCAAATATAGCTCCTTGGGATGAAAGGTGACCCCCAATTTTTATTACATATTCTAAAAGCACAAGTTGTAGATATGATTTTATATATCATAATAGCTGATCGGACACTGTGACGTCACCATATTGCCATCCTGAAGTAAAAAAAAACCTGAATTTTTATATGATAAATACTATGAATGATCATTACTCCTTCACCAACAGGCGTTTTTCAATAAAAGTTGATACATATATATCTCATATCAGGAGACAACAGTGAAATTAAGATGCGCACGTGCGTCATGACGTGCGCGTACGCATGAGTAAATCTTTTAAAATGCTCAAAATTCTTTTTTAACAAACTAAATTAGCGTATTTTGCCATTATCAGCATTTAATTATTGTTCAATCCGCCACGCGCACACTTCCTCGTGGGTCAAAGTAAGGCGGATCACCTAACTCGTCTTCAGTGACGAGTTCAAATCTAGTATGATATTCATTCTGCTGTGTGTGTTAAAATATTAATATCCCAAGCTTTTTCTATCCAATAATTAACGGCGATGTAATACTCTATGGCTATAATATACCTGGTCAGTGTAGAGACACTGATAGTATGAAACCGAATTAAAGGTATGAGGTAATGGGAATTCCCCTTCAACAAACTAACCTTTCATTTCTCAATTCTTGGACTAGGTCCATAGCAGCAACCGTCAATGCGATGGCGGCTTCAACAGAAACTCTCTCATTGTGTTCAAATAAATTCCTTGTTGCCAGGATAAGCGCATGCATTTCTGCTCCCTGCCTGAATATGATACAAGATACAAGAATACATAATTGACCATTTATCACATATCCAAAAAGTATAGGCTGTAAGATATGAAAACAAATATAATAGAAATTTAAAGGACAACATGATCAAAATGTTTTTGAATAAACAGTTATGATAATGACTCTGGTCATTGAGCACATACTGCAAACATTCCCTATGTAGGCCTACTTATAACAGAAAAATAAATTCACTGGTGTCACCGAGACAGACCAATATAAAAGAATGTCAAAGTTTCCAAAAATGTTTCCAATATAAGATCTCTACTACTCTATGGTTGTGCTATAACGGTAATTAAATATGGCAATGAAAAACGATGTAGAATAAACTGAAACATAAACTGTTCATTAATAGATGTTAAAATAATTATATTAATAGTCTTTTCATATAAACTTAATTTTCTGCCAGCAAACATGACTTTTACATGACAAACATATATAAATTACATAAGACTTCTATCTGTGATTTTATGATATCAATGATTTAATGAGCAACTTTAAATAACATGGTTATATTAATTGGTGACTATCCCATACGAGAGTTGAATTGAATAATGTTGATGGAATATTATTATTCAAGCTTCACTGATTAACAACAGAGCAAGAAGTGTTTGTCCTCGCGACATTTGTGGGCATAGGCGTAGATCCCGGGGGGGGGGTGGATGGGGATATATCCCCCAATATTTGAGAAGGGGGATGGTCCATTGTATCATTCCCCCAATATTTTACTATGTATGGGATAAAATGGAGCTTTACACACTTCAAAAGACTGTCACAGAAACAATTTGCACTGTCTTATGCGCTTACAAAGACGAAAATTAGCATAATGTATTAATGTTGATAACAAAATTATTTCATCTGGTACAAATCTAAGCTCTTCTTTCCTTAGATGTTAGATGTGCTTGCAAAGAGAGCCACATTTCACACTGAAGGGTGTGTACGACATCAGTAATATTATGTCAATTCCAAGAATGTTTAAGGTTATATCGGTTGAACTAGTAGGCCTAGGGCCTAGGCCTAGGGCTGTCTCTTATATTATTTTGCAAAAACAAGGTTTCCAGCTTCAGAGGGGGGCACATCTCCTGTCCGCACAAGGGCACACATTGGCGCTAACACCAGGCGCGTAACAGGGGTCTTGGGTCAGAGTGGGTATTTATTTATTTTTTTTTTCAACTATCTTTAAAGAGGGTAACCCTTCTAGTTTAGCCCAGTAGGTTAACTGATATTCAGGGACCCTCTTTAATAAAATTAAAGAACAGTACAAACAACATCATTACAACATAATAATAATAATAATAATAATAATAACAACAACAACAACAACAACGACAACAACAACAATAATAATTAATGATAATGATATTAATAATAATAATAATATATATTGAAGCTTGCGGTACACCACGTACCGCAAGCGCATTATTTCTTCGCCAAATAATAATAACAACATACAATCCTCATTTCCCGGTTAGTAATTTACCATACCCACCCCACTCCCCATATAGAAAACAATACGACATAGGGCTTATTTTATTTATGAATTATTGAAACTAAATATAAGCATTTTCATCATGGTTTTATTTATTACAAACATATTCTTTCACCATCTATACACATTGAGGCCCTTCTTTTAGGTTAAAATGATCTATCTTACATTTGTCTTTCTTGAGTTTGGGACTATTATGTGTTTAAATAACTTAAAAGGATAAAACTAAAAAAGCCCTAAAAAATGCGCGCCAAGCGCGCAAAATATTTTTGTGTTTTTAATTCTAATTTCGTCGGAATTGATGAAAACTCCCTAAAATGTGCAATTTATAGAGGAAATTGTCCTACCGTTTTAACAAGAAATGCGCGCAAAGAATTTGAGAATCTTAGGCACTTTCAGAGGATGCATTTGTCAAGGGGTGGAGAAAGATTTTCCAAAGATGGATATTTCCCCCTTGTCCCCCCTGTTTTTAATTCTAATTTCGTTGGAATTGATCAAAACTCCCTAAAATATGCAATTTTTAGAGGAAATTGGGCCATGTTAACAAGAAATGCGCGCGAAATTTGAGGTTTTTAGGCACATTCAGGGGATGAAAGGGCATTTATAAAGGGGTGTTGAAGATTTTTCAAAGATAGATATTTTCCCCTTGTCCCCCAGTGGTTACGCCATCGGGCAGCATAGATCAAAGTAGTTATGACAGTTTTTGAAGTGGAGAAGGGGTTGCAGGGTGTTGTGAGTCTGGTCATTATGTCTTCCTTTTTATTCTTGTCTTTATTTTTCTCTTCTCTTTTTCAAC